TTTTTTTTTCTTGGATTTTGTTTTCCATCTATTTCTGTTGTGGAAAATCGCAATAGCGCAACACCTGAAATTTCAGTTTTCGTTTTTCTTCTGAAAATTCGAAATTTCGTTGTTGGAAATCCGGAATATCTTTTTTTCGGAACTTTCTGTGAGGAACAAGCCCTCAAGTAGCCCTATCAGACATCACATTGTTCTGGGCTAAGGCCCCCAGCAAGCCAAGTGCCCGCCCTAAGTGAAGGCAGGCCTGAATATTCGTCAAAGGCAAAATTTGACATTTCCATATGGGGTATTCAGGCTCTCGCAGCACGCCAGTTGGTTGGGAAGACGGGTGACCCTCACATTGCTGCGGCATACAGTTGGCCCAGGCTTTGACAGTTACGCCTGGGCACACTTACACAAAGCAGGGCCGATACATTGGGAAGCAGGCCTTCGGCCTTTGCAAAAGCAGTAGTGCCAATGCACCTGCCGGGAGCCCTGCACAGATGCCGCAAACAGCCCAAATCCAGAAGACTCAGGCCGTGCCCAACTGAAAAGGGCCCAGGCCCTCAACTGTAAGACTCGGGCCTGGGCACAGGGTCTGAGTCCCAACCGGAAGCTACTGGAAGCTTCCAGCCAGGCCACACGCAGCATCCAGCAGGCTGACACTTCCATAAAGGAAGTGAGGCAGCCGAGGCCAGGCATTCTGGCCAGCGTTAGCTATGTGGAAGTGCTGCTGCGCTCTCGCTTGATGCTGCGCTGCTGCCAAGGGCGCTGACGGGGCGCGAGAGATGAGGTGGGGCGCTGCAGGGCAGCGGGGCGCAGGCGGCCATAGCCAGGCTGCTGGGCGCCAGGGGGTACAGCGGATGATCGAGTGGTCTTCAGGGAGTGAGGCGCTGTGTGGGATAATCAAGGTCTGATTGAGGGTGACGAGATACGTACCTGGTACATGAAGAGAGGTCGGCGATGGTGTTGACAGTCATGTACATTGGTCTTCGTGAGCCGAAGTGATCCTGTTGCGTGAACCAGCTGTAGAGTAGGCTAGTGTGGTAGAGTAGACTGGGCGCTGGGCGCCAGACAGAGAGAGCGACTTTGGATACTGTGTTGGTGTTGCCTACGGGCTTGGACATTGGCTCATTACTTCATTGTATTGCTCTTTATGGATGGTTTTCTAGGTGCATTTGTACTCTCTGCTTGGGACACGACTACTGGTTCAGCTGTGTGATTTTGCAACTTGGTTTCATGTATATCGCTCACACTCATATTCCTTGCATTTCGATTTCCTTTTGCAAATTCCCGTTATTTGGAAATCCGGAATATTTTTCTTCTGTCATTTCCGAAATTCGTTTTTCAGATTTGAAAACGGTACTGGAAATCCCTCTTGCAGTTACCATTTTCCAAACTGCGCGTACTCTCATCTGAGTAATTCCAAATATTTTGCTGTATTTTATTTTCGGAATTCTTTGTCGGATAATCATTTGCAGTCTGAAAGTCCGAATTTTTTCTTTTTTCCCATTAGTAAGTTTGTGAAACGGTATTCACCAATTCGTGGTAGCTGAGGTAGATCCCAGGGCTCGATCCCTAGTTCCCCAACTTACCTGTGTACAATACCTGCGTCAACTCGAAGAGTTGAACCTGCGACCTGTAGAACCGCCAGTGGTAGGTAGGTCTGTCGTAGGTC